TCTATGTTTGCTAAAACATCAGTGTGCTATAACCCAATTATTTACTTCCTATTGTATAAGAAATTCCGAGATAGCATAGGGCAGACATTGCGATCGTCATGTTGCCAAGACTCGGGTGCTGTGGACCACCTGTAACATATGTAGACGTTTCGAGCTTACTGAGATGATAAGATTGCATTATTAAGCTTGTGAAACTGTGGACTTTGCGCAGTCTGGGTATTACGCTTAAACGTAGCCCAACCCTTTGCCTTTTCTCGCGCGCCCCCAGTGCCAGCACTCAAGCCTCCGTTAACAACCAGGATTTTTCAAGGGGGGTAGCTCGTATCTTGGGGTTGCAGAATTAATGGGGTATGTTCCCAAAATGTTGCAATCTGAGAAATAGAATTAGAAATTACAATGAGCTACCTGACCAGAGTCTTTGCCTTTATTTCTGCCATAATATTCACAAGCTTTTTCAATTTTTTTCTTTTTGAGTTTTGGTTCTGCAAAAAGGGGTTGGCTAGCCACCCAATCCAACCCCCACCCCCTCCCCCCCGCCTGAATGCGCCCCTGAACCGTCTGTATGACAGGCATTGCTTTATGCTAATCTTAATGAAAAATCTTCTGTAACATGTAAGTTGACGAATAATAAAAGGCGATTCACTATGGACTTCTTATCTAGATTTTCGTCGATGTAACGTTTACGGTAAAATTTTTTATGTTTAGTCCTGGTAGATTTTGGACTGTGATTTATATGAATAATAAATAATGCGTTTGCGTATGAACAACAAGAACGAAAACATATGTTTCTATTATTCCATGATAATTAACAGTGTTTATGTAAGTCACGCGGACAAGACTGGAGAAAATCTATAAGACCTATAGAAAGCCAAAAATATAATATCCTTCTGATTTTAAGTACATCCTCCAGAAAGGATCTTACAGTTATTCCACAGCTAGAACAAAATACCTTGTACGTAAAGCAATTGTGATCTTCTGGAAGTTCTTTTCGTAACCCCAAGTCCTATGTAGACTATGAGTTGCGCGCGCGAGGGCGAGATGGACCTCGCGCGCACGGCCATTTCTTTCCCACGAGCGTTTTTTCGCGCCACGCTCGACGGACTAAGAAAACCGAATTTGTGATGATCACTGATAGTTTACAGGCCTACTTGGAAGTAAATTATGGTCTGGGCACCTCAGCAAACGTATGAAGGCAACAAGTTCCCCTAACTAACTTCAAACGAAACATTAATCAATCGAAACAATTATTGACGAGAGGTTTTCTATTTTGAGCTTGACACTACATTCTCTCAGCAGATGGCCTGAGTCTCAGGCCTTCCTAAGGGGAGGGGAGACGGGAGGAGGAGAGAAGCTTTTCCCTTTTCATTCCCTTTTCCTCTCCCTCCCCTCTAACTTTTGGAAAGCTCGCTTCCCAGCGGGCGTCCTTTTGTAGTTTAGGCACGTCGTTGCGCAATCGGCTTGGTATTATCATTGTAACTGGATACAGAAATAACATGACCCCTAGAACGAAATCGGAGACCCTAAAGAGAAACCTCACAGAGCAAAGCATTATTGTTAGTGTTTGCCAAGGACAGTTAGCAAGCACGGGCGACGCGGTAAGTACAATCATTGCACAGAATCTACAGGGAACCACTTAACATAAATCATTTTTGACTTCCGCATTTTGTTTTAACCATAGATTGATCGAAAGAGTTAGCGTAAGAGAATAATGTAGTAACAACTTCCTCTAGGCAACTGATCCGAGGATCCCTATCGCTCGATCTCTTGTTTAGTTTCTATTCATTCGTTTCGTACTAGTGTGATCTCGTGTAGCTCTGGGTAATGAGAAAGACACTTAAGACACTATCCCTAGGCAGAGAAACTACGCTAAACGTAGTCTAGTTTTATGAAATCCCTCTGATGAAACCCCATGAACAGATCGATCTACTACATGCATGCCTAAACCGAACTTTCTGCTTTGACTCTGGTCATTCCATGGACCAACGGAAAGATCACAAAACCAGATATCCAGATTGTTACATTTTCTTAAAATATCCCTGAAAACTACGTAGAATACAGATAAATTATACCGTTTTTTCCTCGCGCTGCTTTGGTACAAGAGGCAAGCCTTCGTCATTTGATACGCTCATTAGCGCATGACACATGTCGGAAAAGAAGAATTTTTCTAATTCAGTAAGGTAACCAAGTCATTGTAGTTTTGATTCGGGGGAACGGAAAAAATCACATGAGTGTTCGCGTTCAAGACTGCCAAGCTGTGGCAAAACCCAGTAGTTTACAAATTTATTTTGCAGTCTTTTGCCGTCGTCCTTGTTGTACAATCAAAGTTTATGGCATTCTTCCAAATACGGAGCACACGATCATCACAAAGTGACCATTGAGTCTGCTTTGATCTGACGATCAATGCAGATTCCACCAACACCAACTGAAATTTTGTTCAGTGAAAGTTGTGCGTTAAATCTTTCCTGAAGCATTTCACCGGTTTCTTATCACCAAATGTGGAAAGTTCAGTGTTACGTGATGATCCGGACTGAACGATTGCGTATTGAACCCAACGCAAATCACGTGCCCAACACGAAGTGCATGCGTTATACGCCCTTGCACAACGCGCACTGAAGACTTGACAGATTTACTTGACAGCTCAAAGAAATCGTCAACCGAAGCGGTCTTCTATATAATGTGTAATTCTAACGAAATGTTATTTTGCTTGCTTTGAGTTCTCGGTCGTAGTCAGCTGTGAAAAACGCCCCCAAATTTTTTTTATTGCAAACGCAGTGAAGAGCGTGACAACAAAACTTCATGTCACACATTCCAGCAAATTGTAACGCAGTGTTTTCCTAGTTCCTGTACGGCTTTCTCCTAGGCCTTCACAGTCAATCGATTTTCGTGACGTATTCGAGACCATGCGACCCGAAAACGATTGACCAAGGTGAAATAACGAGGCCTACTATTGCTAGGAACTAGGCAAACCCAGTCTAGTGTCTCCTACAAGCTCCAAGTTGGGGAGTGGTTTTTCATCTGAAGTAATTTTGTTTTCTTGACATTGATGTTGCTTTTAATTATTGCAGAGAGTTTAGCATGGCGACGGGAATATTGAAATTTCTCGTCGTCGCACTCCTTGCTGTGACGTTGTCAAATTCCCATCATAACTGACAGTGACAATGACAACTGCCAGACTTGGGTCCAGTACCCAACGACCGGGCAGATGGGGCCGTGGTAGTCCTGGGGATGATAAACTCAGGATGACATCAGAACATCTGATGACAAGCCGATTGTCGCGTCAAGGCCATCGAGAAAATGGACCAGATGCGACAAGACGCTGATGCCAGGTACATAGAATTTTCTGCTATACTTACAAACTTTATTTGCGACTAGGTAGGTAGGCTACTCATGCGCACAATAATAATACCGTAAAACTACCGCTTATAAGACTCCCCGGTTATGGGCCTATGTATCTGACTGACTGATTGATTGATTGATTGATTGATTGACCCTTCTCCTCCAGTCGCACATTCGGGGCCCAATTTCTCGGAAACGAAACCTTGCTTATTCGAAGGGAACAGCTGCGACATAAGTATAAAAGATTCACGCCGAAATGATTGTAATGGTTGCAATGAAAATTGGCTTTTTGAAGTCGTACTAGCAGTATAAAAAGAATTTTCTGTAAAAACAAAATCAAAGCTGCAACAAGTGGTTTGCAATATTTCAGAGGAGTCCAAGCCAAACTTGAACAAGTGTTTCGTATCTTTCAAGTTAGTTCTCATTGAAATCAATCGATTTCCACGCCATCTTTGATCGTCTTAAGTCCTAATTCGTTCTTTCTTTCCTATAATTTGTTCCTTCTTTCAGTTCCTAGCTCTGATTTAATTGGTGAATTGTTGATATTCCAACTTATTTGAATTTTTTTTGCTTTAGCAACATGACCGGCATGGTGTTCATGACAGTTGTTGGCCAAAATGTTTTCTCGGACACATGGAATCAAACTGATGACATTTTCGAGGAACATCAGCCTGGTCTGTTATCTGCCATCTTCGATCACCAGACAAGTGGCATATTTGTTTATAACCGCTGCGGTAGTCGGGTGGGGGAGCTGCAGTTGTTTCCATTGGTGCCGTTAGATCCTTCGGAAGTGGAGAATGAATGGTAAGTCCTTAGTTTACTTGTCTCCCACGCAGACGCGCTTTGGGCTCATCACGCAATCTTCCTCTACCAGGATTGTGTGACGGGCGCAAAAGGGCGTCCTCGTTGGAGGCTATAGTTTACCGGATATCAAGTAACGGAGAGTTCTGCGCTACCATGAACTTGCGTGAAAGTAAATTTTTAATTGCCGAGCTACATTGCTCGTAACACTTACTACTTTCTTAATTCTCTGAGGGAAAGGTGGGACGTCCGCAGCTTCTATCCGGATAACATCCGTATTTTTTTTCAACAGGAAAATCATCTCAAAGGCCTACAACAAGTGCCCGCAATGCAACAAACCAGCGCCAACACCTCAACCTCAAGACGAGACAAATTCCGCTCCACAGTAGTTCACATCCGTAGAAATGAATTTTGTAGGGTTTTTCATTTGAAAGCTAAATTAAATATCATAATAACTGAACGTAATTGCTGCTGTTAGTTATATCCCATTAGAAATAACTTGTACTTGATAACTTAAGGTAAATTGAGAACCTGATTTTAGTGTTTACAAACTTGTTCTAAAGCGTTTTTCAGTTGATTGTCGTGGAATCAAAACTTTTGGCTCATCACTAATAGAAACGTAATGAGGGAATCAGATCTCTGAAGCAAAAACCTGCAACCCGCACCAAGCGCGGGAAAAAGCACGCGCCAAGCCACTATTAGTCACCACCTGATTGGTTAAAATAAAACAGAATCTTGTAACTGATTGGTTGAAGCACTTTCTTAGACAGTCAGTTGAAAACCGTGCTTTGAATAGAAACAAATACTTAAATTAGATTTTTGATTCAAGGATAGGATAGGATACTTATTTAAAGTCTTCAAAATGAAGTAGTTTCTTTTTACCATTGTTATTTTGTTTCTTTGTTTACCTGGAAAGAATCATATTACCTTTCCATTACGATACAAGCGCAGAATGTAGGAGAGAGAAAGTCTTTAGTTCCAGTTTTAGAAAACATGATGATTAATGATAAACAAGCGGCAAAAAGTTTAAACTGTTTGTTTTGATGTGTGTTCATCAATTTCTGTCTGAGAGCAGAGAAACAGAACATTTCATTACGAGTTAACCGGCTGGTTTGTATGACAAGCTTGCAGCAAAGATTATTTGTAAGTTTTTGAATTTTTTTTACCAGTCTACTCGCACATGAAAGGAACGAGATTTGAGAAAGAACTTTGTGCTTCGGTGTTATGTTGTGAAAGAGGTAATAAAATCGATTCTCATAAAATGTTGTACTGCAATTTTAATGTGACAATTTACGCCGCAGGCCACTGAAGCCCGATTAGCTAGCTATCGACCAAAGCCGACGGAAACCGAGAGCGAACAGTCATATGACTGTTTTAGCACAAACATCGAGCCTGATTGATAACTCTTCGAATATCGATAAAACTGACTCACTCTTACTTCACTTTAGTAGAATTCTACTAGTATACTAATGCAAATGCAGTAATCTGATTGGCTGAGCCATTGAACACTATCAGCCATTAGTGTGCGGTGGCTGGAGGGCGTCTAGGAAATGGCGACGTTTTTTTCGTTTTTCCAAAGATTTGGAGGAAAATTTTGATGCAAATGGGTAGTTAAATTCCTGAGAAGTCTAAACGAAAGACATTTACGGTGTCTTGACTTTTAAAAACGTTGAAATTATTGAAAAAGCTGATGCGCGCGCGCACACAACTTCAGTTTTAAATGACAATTCAATCCGAGCGATCTTTTTCAGGCGCAAAGTACGTCAAGAAACAATTGGAAACCGTTATTTGAAGTAAATTTTAGAAAGAATTCTACTAAAACAATTCGGCCTCATCAACTATCACCTCATAGAAATGGAGAGCGAAAAATCTAATTGTTAAATAGAAAGCACGTTGTAGTCGAATATCCAGTTATGGTTCTACTACGCTCACACGTAAAAAGGAATGGCAGGGTATCAACAGCTAATATTTTTCGGTAATGACGATGAAAACTGCGCGCGTGCGGACTTTGAAACTGCTCATGCGTGCAATGGCTTTTCATTGACCGACGACATTATATTATCAATCAGAATGCGAAAAGAGAATACCTGTAACAACTCAATCACCCTAAGGACAGAGAGGCTAGACTCTCGAACCAGGGTGCTCATATGTAGACCTTTTTCCGCCCTGCCCGAACTCAAGCGATGCGCCGTTTAATTTTAAAAATACACGCCAACTGAACGAGGAGGTAGGCTGTTATGCATATAATTAACAACGTGTAAGGTCTCGTGCAGATGTGTGTATTGTATATGGTATGAACAAGCAATTAAAATGAACAAATTAAGGCAATGGGTGAATTATCCGCCTTGATGAAATTTTAAGTCTTTATATTTGCCTTTTTGCGTGCAAAGATATTAACACAGGACCACGTTTGCGCATTCTCACAAACATCCTTACAACAGAAAAAAAGCGTTGAGCGATTTTCTCCACGCTATCGATGGATAATCAAGAGAACAGCCTGTGAGATTTAACAAAGTGATCGCTTAGACTAATTTTTTTTGCGACATTTAAATAATTTCTCCCAACTGGTTTAATAAGAAATGTATTTGAACCGGTGGGGAGGATTTCTTCCTTGATCATAGAATGTCAACAGTCGCAAACTCCACTAATACGGCCACAGCATCGGTGCGGTTCTTTCAAACCGCGACACAAACACTTATCAGTACGGACATGTTTGGTACACATTCCTCGACATCTGCGATCGCTAGAAGGATGCTGAAACCACGACGAAAGCAAGTTTACGATTAAGTCTACTTTCACTTCAAAACAAGACAGTTTTTGTTCCAAATTCGAGAAACCTTCACGAATCTCTTTTCTCAAGGATCGTACCTTGGTTTCAAGATCTTTGATTTCCTTTTCTTGTCGATCCAAAGAGTCGAGGAGTTGCTGGCTGTATTCGTCACGACTGTCACGGCGACCACGTATAAGTAAGTCACGCTTCGGTCCTCGTGGCAAGCTGCGGTGGTCACGGTTTGGTTCGGGCTCTTGAGACCCTTGGCGAATTCTTTGTGGCAGATCGATATCTTCTCGAGAGGGTTCGTTACTTGTCGGATAAAAAATTTCTTCATCGGAAGAACGACCGTCCAACTCTTCGTTATAGTCAGATTTATACATTGCAAGCGTCCATGTCTATGCGGACTTTGTTTTCATTCACTCGAAAGATTTCACGGTAAAAAACTAAGATGCAACCGAACCAAACATGAACGAATGCATTCAAACTGTTCTAAAGAATCTAGATAAATGCCATTCGAGAGAATTATTATGACGTAACTCGTTTATTCGTTCACGTCGTTGAGAGTCAACCTCGTTCCCAGGCTCTCTCCTCTGCCTCACTTGCTTTTCTTCCAACGACGTGGGAGGCAGAGGAAAGAGAGCCTGGGAACGAGGTTGAATGACAGGTTGCAATAATGACGTCATAGCGGCTTCTTTATTGTCTTCATTACAGTCGATTAAGTCAATGGTTTTGCTCTTGTCCATACGAGGTTAGTTGTGTTCCTACAATATTACTGGTTACTGCTTCCGCTGTAATTGTAGATTCCCACTACTAGTCAAAAGGTGTAAACTCGCTCGCTCGTGCAACTCGTCTGTTCACATTAAACTCAATTAAATTAAAATAAATTACTTTTCACGAGGACGCGAAGGCCTTGGCTTGAATGGACTAGGTTGTACATGAACCAAAGTGAAGTGCCCGTGATCAATTCTCTAACTTGGGATCTAACCTCCTATACCATATCAAACGCCGTATATGACAGTCGCTGCTTTCGAAAGCCTTTGCACAAGAACGCTCCCCGTTTTCACCTGTTACCTTTTTTATCGTTGTATCTTGCAGGTCTGGCGAAACCTTTAAGTAAACGCGTTCTCAACTGACGAATATCTTCAAAGTGAAATGTTTCAATAACTAATCTGACTGCCCTGCTAGTAGTGTGCTGCAATCTAATATAAGGCTAGGAAGCACAAATAATTAATGAAAAAACGATCGAGAGTATTCTTTCCCAAGCATATTGAACATGAAGTGTAACGACTTTCGCGACACAAAGCAGTGCGCGCGCACGATTTAGTTTGTTCTTGAGCCTGTGAATACAGCCAGCTCTGATCGCTCGCTTGCGGCTGTTCATCAAGTACGTACATTTTCGATGACGAAAGGTTTAAATATGGTTATTTACATTTTCCTCGACCTGAAATAAAAGTTTGCTGGTAACGCTTTGCAATACCAAACTACGATTTAATTATGTACAAATTCATGTTTCACTCGTCCAGAAATTTTCTTTCCTTGAAGCAAGATTATAAGAATTATCACTGAACCCTGTGTTCTTATGATTCTTTGAGATTTTTTGCGGGGGGACGTGGGGGGAAGGACGCAGGTGTTATGGCACAAACTAAAATAAATTTATAAAAAAACCTCTCCCTGTTAAATAAGAAAGAACAATTGATGAGATTTGGCATTAATTTCATGGCAGTGGTTAGCCAGTAGGCTGATTTAGCAACAGGACGGGAACGTCAGATGACGACTGCAGGGCGTGCGGAATAACCTGGATTCTGTTCTAATTTGACCATATTTGGGTATTTGTACTGCGCGCGCCGTCGTCAAGTGACGTTCCCGTTCTCCTGTTAAATCGGCCTAATAACCTCTTCTTCGAAACCATTTACGAGAATCAACTTTCTCTCTAAACAACAATCCTAGCCCCGTTACATTGTTTTTGTTTCTGTAAAATAGGAATGCAACAGAGGCCTGTGTATGGTAGGGTAAAGAGAGTGAAACCGTAGGACTCAGTGGGGAGATGTGGGCAGTCTCATCCCAAACATCCTTGATAGACCCAATTGTCACTATCCACATAACAGCTGATTACAATACACTATGATTTCTTCTTTTTCTTCTTGGTCAATCCATAAGAGGCCAGCCTAGCAGCCGATAGATTACTCAGCCGTTCTTTCTTTGCCCCTCTGAACTGTCTTTGCAATCGTTTTTTGACTGCAAGTTCTTTCATCTCCTTAAATGTTAGTCTCCTTCGCTTTAGATTTTCTTGCTTTTGTTTCCCTTTTTTCGATTCTTCTTTGTCCTTTAAACATTTCTGTCCTTGTTCCATTGGACGATTTTGTTCTTGTGAAACCTGACTGTTTTTATTCCCCCCTTCACTGCCGTTTATTGTTTTCCTGGGGACATTCTTCGCTTTAGTTCTACTGTCATTTTGTTCAGGTGTTCCATTACTATCAACAATGTTTTCAGGCGTTTTAGCCTTTTTCGTTAAACTGTCCCTGGAGAGTTTTTTCTTCTTGAAATTTCCTTCATTTTCTCTGTAAAAAAACAGAAACATTGATAAATAAGCCACAACCAGCAAAAAAGAAAAACAGAGCTTAAACATGGTGCAACTTTTACAAGGGAGCAAACATGTCGCCTGTTACGTAGGTTAAACTGAAAAAAATGTTATACTTTATACAATAGTTACCAGCCTTGACAAACGATAATCACATCTCCAAAGAAGGAAATAATAACGTATTTTGTATATTTATTGTATAACAGACCTTTCTGTCTCGGCAAGTGAAGTAAGAATCTTTTTCTTTCGCTGCAGATCTCTCCCTCGCTTGCGGTATTTTTTGATATCTTGGTACTCTTCACTTTCAGCTCTACAGTGTAAATGAAAACAAGTTGACTTTGACTGTGTTATTTGTGAAATAAATTTGTGTTTCTCCACGAGAGGTTTTTGCGAGTATGTTTGAAAATTGTATTTTAGTTGCCATTCTGCTCCTTTTGGTCAGCTGCAAGAATCGCGACGCTGAGGGAGGGGGACGGGGCCAGCACCGGAACTCCGCAATTCTCGCTGAGAATACAAATCCAGTATTCTGCGCATGTTCAAAACATTGGACGCG